TATTTATTTGCTAAAGTTTAAATGTAAGATTTGCTATCTCACTTTATTCACACACAAATCATACCAACATGGTACTCTCAGCCATTGTACTTGCAATCACAGGGTAACTGCAAAATGGTGCCAAGATCTTGCGAATTCTGTGGTTGGTTCTGGAGAGTGCGCAGACTTCTGCCAAGGGCATCCCAGACGTGTTCGATGGGATTGAGGTCGGGAGACCTTGACTCCCGTATTCTGAAGGAAATTCCTTGTCAAAAATGCTGTGTGGGTTCTGGCATTGTCGTGTTGGAAGATCAAACCGGATCCATGTGCTGCCCTAAAAGGCAGACGTTCTGGTGCCAGTACCTGGTCGCGGTAAGCAGCAGCGTTGAGGTTGCCATGGATGACAAGAAGCCTGGAACGTGCATTGCCACAGAAAGCACCCAAAACCATGACACTTCCGCCTCGAAATCTGTCAACTTCTTGTACACAACACTTGGCGTAACGTTCATGACGGCGCCTCCACACCCTCGCCCTACCATCAGCAAATCGTAGATTCAATCGGGGTTCATCACTGAAGACGAGTAAGTAAGTGTCGTAAGTATCGCTGTGCCCACAATTGACGTTGACGTCTGTGTAATTGCGTCAGAATCGGCCCGCAGTATGGCCGTCGTGCTTGAAGGTGAGCAGTTTCTCAGACGGTTTCGAACAGTTTGCGCACTCAGTCTACCCCTAAACAGTTCATTTCTGGTTGATGAAGCCGTCAAAATTCGGTTACGGAGGTGACGTAAGACAATCTGACGATCCTCTGCATGTGACGTCACACGTGGTCGTCCTTGCCGAGGGCGATCAGCGGTGGTACCCGTTTGCTGTAGCAACATCGCGTTGACTCGATCCTGCTTCCAGCAAACCAATGGCTCACAGACGCTCAATTTTGTTTTTGTCCTGAGTGGTTTTTGTCAGCACGATGCTTAACAATGCATATGGAATCCCGTTTACGCACATGTTTTTATACCCATTCTTGGGTAGTAAAATGCATGGGGCTGGCATGAATGAGTGAGTGAGTGAGTGAGTTAATTTAAAGTCACATCAGCAATATTTCAGCCATATCGGGACTTGAACAAGTTATGCATTTATATTAGATACATATAGATATATAAAAACTGTCAACAATGAACAGTACAACAACCAGCAATATATCACAGATCATACGTGTACTGGAGCTCATGACACATCAGAGTGCACGAGTGACATGAAATGTTTCAACTGTGGTGGTGAGCATATGGCTTCCTCCAAGCCCTGTCCAACTTTTGATTTTGAGTCCAAAATCTTGAAAATAAAACATAGAAACAAAATCACCAATCAAGAAGCCAACACATTAGTGCAATCTGCAGCTCCAAGTCCCGTAAAAACATACTCAGCAGCAATTTCTTCCCCTAAACCATCTGCTGTCTCTATTTCGTGTCAAACCAACATATCGTGGATCAAGGATGACCATGTTATCCTTGACGATTTGATCCCAAACTCCAATAGTGATCCACATATTGCCACAGCTTCCTCTCAGACGGAACCAGAAACAGTATCCGACAGTCAACCAGTGGGCGTAGCTCACTTACAAACAGCGAAAATAAGAAGTTTCGTACAACCAGGGCACTCCAGCCCATGGAGATTCCTATTATTACAACGTCTGTTGAGGGTCATAACCCCTATGTACCTCTGGAGATGGATGTAACTCCAACACAGCCAGTTCATGGGAGAGGACATTCCTCTCGCTCAAGATCTCCTGTTGAGCCGCCATGAGCAGCTCAAGTAAAATAATTCAATGGAATTGCAGAGGACTACGGAACAATTATAATGATATTCACTTATTACTACAAGATTTTAAGCCATCAGCACTATGTATTCAGGAAACGTATTTGAAAACCACCGATCACATTGACATTAGAGGTTATACTTCCTACAATTTCTTTTCACCCCCTGGAGCAGAGGCCACTGGAGGTTCTTCAGTGTTGGTAAAGCAGGATGTTTCTTGATGTTCCTGACCCTATAAAATGTTTCTCTGATGCACTCCATCACATAGCTGATGCATGTATTCCAAAGTCCTCTGCAAATCCACACATCCGTAAACCATGGTTTAATGTAACTTGCAAACAGGCTAGGAAGGCACGGAAGAAGGCTGAGAATTTTTTCCGTCGTCATCCTATGGTTCATAATTTAAATAAATTCAAAATCATAAATGCCTAGTCACGACGTACATTTAAACAATATAAATGCATGTCCTGGCAAGCTTACGTTTCGAAACTTAATTCACGATATCTAAGGTATGGAACATGATTAAAAGAATCCAAGGTAGGGGATCAAAATCTAGTATTCACCATCTTCAAAATGGGAATGAATTGTTGACTGATAAATCAGATATTGCTAATAAACTTGGTGAAATTTTATCTAAACATGGAAAAGTCAATACAGTCAAGAAGTACATGCTTGACCGTGATTCTTTCATCACAAGGGATGCAGAATGGAGGATCCTCACCTTTTAAAATATATTCATGAGTATACCGTGAATGGCCAATACGACATCGTCTTAAAATGACCTCTTGAAATCACGACTGACAACCCAAATAGGTATAACGGATATTTGCTTTTATTGCATGTAATTTATTTATACCCACTTGGGTGTCCCACTTCTTCTGCATTAGATCTCTGATGTAAGATCTAATGACAGGTTTATAATCACTGTATGGTATAAGAAGTGGTGCAACAAATTTGTCGAGTGCTCCTTTTGCAGCAGCATTGGCTATTGAATTACCAACAATTCCAACTTGGCTGGGAAGCCAACAAAAGACGATGTCTATTGGCCAGTAGCCAGTTTGTTATGAAATCTTTTTGGTGAAATTTTATCTAAACATTCCTCCTCATCTAACTATGTTCCTCAATTCCAAAAAAACCCAAAAAACTGCAGGAAAAGAAAGCTATTAATTATAAATCAGAGTGAGTGAGTGAGTTAATGCTTTACGTCACATCGGCAATATTTCAGCCACATCGTGATGAGAAAATATACATTATTTAATACATATATTTTTGCTAAATTAAAATCTGTCATCGATGGACAGTAAAGTTACTAGAATATCACAGATTAATATGTAAAACTAGTCAACAACTTTAAAAAGATATCACTATTAATTACGGCACAATATAAAAAAGGCCTATAGATCGCCATCAACTGAAGGTAGAATACCATGCTAGGGTGCATGGGGACTTACAGAAATTTTGCTACCTGCATGGACCCCAGCCGGATTTACATCATCCCCTCCGCTGTTGGCGATTAATGACAAATTTAGCCAGAGTAAACGAACATATATCCTACGATTAAAAAAGGGCAGAAAATAAACATACTTTGAAAGACGTGGTCTTACATATCCTCTCTGGGGGACAATCATTTTACACTACTTCAACCCAAACAAGGGTAAAGCCACTAACAATCTCAGACTAAAATATGCATTAATTACAAATCATATAATCAGAATTAATGTTATAATTCTATTTCTTTTATAAAAACCAAGAATTAAATGACTACTTATCTGAGTAAAAAGATCCTTAAGTGTTGAAACTTTGAAATAGTTAACCCTTTTGATGGAAAAATCAATACAGTCAAGCAGTACATGCTTGACCGTGATTCTTTCATCACAAGGGATGCAGAATGGAGGATCCTCACCTTTTAAAATATATTCATGAGTATACCGTGAATGGCCAATACGACATCGTCTTAAAATGACCTCTTGAAATCACGACTGACAACCCAAATAGGTATAACCGATATTTGCTTTTATTGCATGTAATTTATTTATACCCACTTGGGTGTCCCACTTCTTCTGCATTAGATCTCTGATGTAAGATCTAATGACAGGTTTATAATCACTGTATGGTATAAGAAGTGGTGCAACAAATTTGTCGAGTGCTCCTTTTGCAGCAGCATCGGCCATAGAATTACCAACAATTCCAACATGGCTGGGAAGCCAACAAAAGACGATGTCGTATTGGCCAGTAGCAAGTTTGTTATGTAGTTCTTTGATGTCTCGTAAAATTGGATGCTTACACGAAGTATTTTTAATAGCCTGAAGACAGGAGAGAGAGTGTGAAAAAATTATGAATTCCTTATGTTTAGTCTGTCTATTAATATATTCTAAAGCAGTTAAAATAGCCTTTGATTCAGCTGTGAAAATGGTTGAGTTATGAGGTAATCGAGTTGATAAAGTTATGGATCGAATGACAGTGGCGCTAGCAACAGCATCACCATCCTTGGATCCATCAGTAAAAATAGATTTGTAAGTATCATATTCACTTCTTAACTGATTATATTCTTGTTGATATTGTAGTTGATGAGTGTCAGATGTTTTAAGTTTAGATAAGGTAAGATCCACCTGCGGCTTTACCAACTGCCAACCGAGAAGAAAGCAGGCGAAAAAGAGCTATATTTTCGAGAGCAATATTTGAAGCATTTATGAAAGGTTTAATTCTTATTCCGAGAGGCGGAATAAGAGATGACTTCTTACTGTACAGTTCCTCTTAAAGAGGATTAAATACACAATTGTATGCAGGGTTAGATTGATTAGAATATAATTTTGTGATATACTGTAGTGATAGTATAGTGAATGAGTATGGTTTTACGCCGCTTTTAGCAATATTCCAGCAATATCACGGCGGGGGACAACAGAAATGGGCTTCACACATTGTTCCCATGTCGGGAATCGAACCCGGGTCTTCGGCATGACGAGCTAACGCTTTAACCACTAGGCTACCCGACCGGTAGTGATAGTATAATACGGCGTTGTTTAAGTGATGGCTCATCGGCCTCAACATATAGACTGTAAATGGGAGAAGTTCTGAAAGATCTAAGTCAAAGCCTCAGACCCTGGTGATGTATGGGATCGGGCCCCGATTTCTCGAAACAAACTTAAGTTCAAAAACACACTTAAGTCTGAGTTTTTACTCAAATTTGAGAAAACTCAGCAAAAGGCATTTCTCAAACCAAACTCAGTTCAATTTTCGACTCAAACTGAGTTTACAACTTGAGTTAGGTAGGAAGGTTACTTAAGTTTTTTTGTCGGTCATAAAATGGCGGTGTTGAATAGACGTAGGCGTCGTAGGCAGAAACAAATATCAACATTGTCAAGGGGATTAGACGATAGACAAAATCCTCTTGAGTTCATGGAACCCGAGGAGTTATTCATGAGGTTCCGTTTCCGTGCGGAGAGCATTTTATTTATTGTTTCCCTTGTTTGTGAGAAACTTGAACGGTGCTCCAACCGAAGCAGCCCATTACCTGTTTTAACGCAGGTACTTGTCGCCCTGCGTTTCCTGGCCACTGGATCTTTTTATTCTTTGATCGCGGATTCATATTCGATTATTTCAACTTCTTTGGTGTTTCGGTCAGTCAGAGATGTATGCACTTGTCTGATCGAACATCTCCGGCATTTTGTATGTATGCCAACTAGACAAGATGCAGACAAGATCAAGAAAATGTTCTTCCAAATTGCAGGTGAGTGTGTTTGAAAGCGATTCCTCTTCAACTCGCCTCTTCAGTGGTGTTATTAATTACTAATAAGGGGGAGCTACTCTAATTCTTGTCATTTCTATATAAAAAACCTTTCCCTTTCTAAAACGAACAGCTATCATCATGACATAAATCTGGAAATTCTGACGAAAACTTCCAATAAAAATTACGTTTATCATATTTTAACATATACACTTTAAATTTCCAATACCTTTTGTAAAATGCATAAAAATAAACGCCTTCAATCGTTTAAAAAATCAAATTGTATTGAAATATTTTATAAAATATAATCAAAGATAATTACCATAACAGCCAACTCAAAATTCTTGACATAATGTTATTTAAAATTGGCAATATATTCCTGATAATAACAATAATTTATCATTAATGAATCTTAAAAATGAAACATATAATTTAATTTTTCAGGTTTCCCAAATGTTCTGGGCTGCTTAGTTGGAACCTTCATCCGCATTATAGCACCCTCAAGGAATGAAGTCGATTATTTGAATCGTAAAGGATTTCACTCACTCAATGTTCAGGTAATAATATTATGTTTATGACACTTAATAATTGTTATTGCCAGAAGCTAAAATTACTTATGTTCATGTACGTTTTATGTTTCATGAAATGTATGAAAATAGAATCTATATTTTAAAATTCACAAATCACTGCCTACACAGTGGCAGCCAAAATATGAATCATACCATTTCAATTATTCTTTTGTTATAATTTCAATCAATCTGTTTACTGACCAGTGACATGCAGTGTTTTGTGCTTATAAATGTATTGAACTGACCTATTAATTCTATCACTTATCAGATGATATGTGAAGCCAACTACAAGTCCATCCATTGTGTTGTGAAGTGGCCAGGGAGTGTCCATGACAGCCGCATCTTCCGGGACAGTAAAATCAGCGTTGCTTTTGAAAATGGTATGAGTTCATAATTCATCTTTAATCTGACATGATTTGAACTGTAAATTATACCAAATGACAAAACTTTTAAGGACACAGTTCATTTACAGAACCAATAATATTTATTGCTGAGGGAAAGGGGTAAACAGCCTTTTGAAATGATTATTTTTTAAAAATGTATTATTATGGTTCCAAGACAATTGGTTATTGCATCACTGTTAAATCAGTAAAAAAATCATTTTCTGTATGTCATGATCAAATGTCACCAGAAAGAATCAAATTCTGATCTGCTTCATTTTATAGGAACATACAAGGGCTTTCTTCTTGGAGACTCGGGATATCCATGCAAGTCTTACTTAATGACACCTTTCCTCACAACCTCATGCCGGGCTGAAGAAAGATATAACAGAAGTCACTGCAGAACTAGAGTTTTAGTCGAACAGAGTTTTGGAATTTTAAAACGAAGATTTTCTTGCTTACACAGTGGATTAAGAACAACACCTCAAAATGCTTGTAAAATTATAACTGCCTGCGTGATTCTACATAATATTGGTATTGATAGAAAAGATATAATAAATGTTGATCATGATGATATTGACACGAATAATAATGTCATTGTCCATGTTGCTGATGAATGGACAGGTAGCAATGTTCGTAAAAACTTGTGCCAGCAGTTTTTCAGGTAAATGTTTGTAATATGAAATACTTTAAGTGGGAAGGTGGCAAGGGATTGGCTTGTTCAATTTTCTCTAGATTATCAATGTAAATTGCAACTGACATTTACTGACCTATGCATAAATGCATTGATGCTATCTGTATTTGATGTAGCTCCCAACTGTTTTGATACATAGATGCTTGTATTTGTGGTCAAAAGAATTTTGCTATTAACAATTTGTTTGATAATGCTGGTTAATATCTGGTATCTTCCTGCTTCTTCTAATACTTGTGCACAGGTAAACAGGAGCTATTAGACAGCCCAGGTATAGTCAGGGATGAGTGACTTTGCTAGTTAGACAAAGTAGGTATGTGGATCCGTCAATGTTACTGTCAATAGGAATGCATGAAAATAATAATAATAATAATAATAATAATAATAATAATGATATAGTTTATTAATGTGTCATGTGTACATAATACACCTGGCCATTACTGGCCTAAAAGACACTCCTAAAATTATACAATCAATGAAATACATAAATAAAACATTATAACTAATAATATCTTTATATGTATACAGCAACCCCACCACCTACCCCCCGCCCCACTCCACAGACACACAGACACATATTCTCACGCAAATTCAACCTAGACACCAGTTCACACAGCTTAGCACACCCCCTCCCCCTTCCCCCATATACATGTCCCAGATCAGCGAGTCACAGAAATTCAACTCAGTCAATCAATCACACGCATTATTCATTATGACCCACACACATTCAATCACGCACAAGTTCAACCGTGTCAATCAACCGTTCTTTATTCAATCTGCCCAACCCTTCCTATTGTTCACTAAAAACAGATATTTTTATATTGTGGTAGTTTAGATAGGCTATTATTGAATCTGGTTCGGCTGTGACAGCTCTATGAAAACATCTAAACACTTCAACTTGAATCTTAGTCTGTTGATTTCTCTATCCCATATCACCTCGTACAGCAATATTTGAGCTATTTTTCCGAACACCCAGGAAAAATCGACAGGCTTTGTTCTGTATATGGTTAATTTCTTTATAAGTGTTCATACCCCACACGCTGGCACTGTAGTTGAGGCCAGGGGTTGAAAAATTATTAAAAATGTTACTTGACCAAGGGCAAGTATGAACCGACATTCTCACTTGCCCTATTTTAAAATGTACTAGCCCAAAATCAAGCTAATAAATTCAGTAAAATGTTACTGCTGCAGAACTGAGAATAAGAGATACACCTGTCCTCCGTGGATTTCTGTAATAAAAGATTAAAACTAACCCTTTTGTCTCATTTATTTACCATGTTTACTCTACATCTCATGTACACAGTGAGTGACAGTCTAATCAACACATTTGCTGCTGCATGGACCAAGCATTGGTACAGGCTCAGGTTTAGCCTCTTTCGCTAAAGACAAGATATGCCTTGATCCTGGTGTGTTGTGAAGCCATTCCATAATGGCAGGTCTTGGATCAAAATCTGCAAGTTTCTTTGAACCATGTGTCATAATTGTCAGTGTATGACAAAGTGTCTTTTGGTGTAGAGCTGTTCTGTGGTGAGTTTTAACTAGGTTCATGCTTGAAAACATTCTCTCACAAATAGACGTTCCTGGACTAACCACAAGCATGAGTTCAACAAGTTTACAGATATGTAAGAACTTGTCAGGTGTATTTTAAGCAGCCGCTGGTATGTATCAAGAACTGGTCTGGTGCAGCCTTTCAGGTGCCCTTTTAGGTCAATAAATTCTTTGGACATTTGTTTTCTTTCCTCTCCTGAGAACAGTGCAGAGAAATGTTCCATCAGCTCAGACAGGTCAGTGCTACCATACACAGACAGGGGCTCTCTTTGAGTGGGCCATTCTGTGAAGTCAAACACAGAGAAATGCTTGAGAGGCTTCTGTTTGAAGCATGAAAATCTCTTATCTAAGTAGGTGATGATGCCATCAACAAGTGATATGAGGAATGTATCATCTTTAAAGATGACGGGGGGGCACACACCATTTAGCTTCACACCATCAAAAGAGGATTTCTCATGATTGTACATTTTTGAAAAGTATTCCATACTCTCCCCTGCTCCAACAGGATCAATTTTACAGTTTAGGAGCTTCATGACAAGACCTTCAATTGCTGAAGGGACTTCAATAATGAGAAGGTCTTCCTTCTGGAAGACAAGAGATACCTCTGTGAGGATAGGAAGGATATCAAGAAGGATGCACATAGTTTTCACAAATGAAACTGTCTTCATTTTCCTCAGCCATCCCTGACACTTGGCACTTTGATCTGATCTACCTGCGGCCACACTTTCAAAGTGATTGAGTATTGAGTGGAAGCTTATCTTCAGTGCTCTAACAGCTCGGATTTTGCTCGCAAGCCATCTCACCTGTTTCACATCAGACAGATTGGCAAGATCAGTATTGAATATGTCAGACACGGTCTTGAGTTCCCTTCTCATTTTTGGACTATAATGGTAGAACTTGAAAACTTGTTTCAAGACATCTTCAAAATTTGACAGACTAGGAAGATGTTTGACAGCATCCAATACGGCCAGTTCAAGCTTATGTGCTACGCAATGCACTGGTACAACATGTTTTGCTTGTTTGCATATTTTTGCTGCTACACCACCTTTGCTGCCAAGCATGACTGCAGCACCATCAAAATTCACGGATACTAAACTAGGACCACTTGCTTCTGTAGTACTCAACAGATCATCAAAACAAATGTCAACTGATTCAACAGCTTTTCTTATTCCATCAAGCACCTCATCAGCATGACAATGTTCGAGAGGTACTGTTCCTGCATGGAAGGATACTGGTTGACCATGGCTTACATATCTCATAAAGACAGTTTCTTGTTCCAAGATGGCACTGTCTGTGCTTCCATCACTTAAAATTGTCACAAATCTCGCTTTCTTCAGTTCGGGAATAAATTCCTTCTGGAGAGAACATGCAATGGCTTTGATAAACTCGCGTGCACCTGCAATGTTCCTATACTTGCTCCCAATGTCAACACCAACACAGTCAAGTAGGTCCAAATTAAACTCAAAATCACTGAGCGGTTTTCCCCGGTAAGCAACATGGAATGCAGTAATGAATAATTTTTCCAACTTCTGCATTGTCTGTTTGTCACTGTTTTGTAAGGCTTTCACAATAGGACTCACATTGTCAGTGCTACATGTGGGCCCAGACAAGGGCGTGGTCACATCGCAGCTGCCACTTGCTGTACTTCGACGTTGAGCGTCTCTCTCATATGACATACACTCCAAATGTGCATCTGATGTATCGTGACTTTTCAAATACTCAATTCTGAAATTTGAACATCCATCAATAAAAGTTCTCTTACGATTGCAAGCGTGTATGTTTGGGTACTTGGAACAAATGGTGCACTTCATGACCTTCGCTGTGTCATTATACGCAACCCAAGGAAACTGGTCTTTCCACCCATCGATGAATGTTCGTTTTCGTTTACATTCGTCATACTTCTTATTCTTAGCCGATATACAACTTTCGGAATTTCCCTCTGCCTTCCTCTTTAGTTCGTCCCCACCGCCAAAGAAACTTAAAATAGACCGCTGAGACATGATCGGCCATGTGCGGTACTGGCAACATAAATTGTTATTGCAGATACCCCTCTGGGTGCTAATGAGGCAAAGGGAGGTTACTCTGTCCTTTACTAGCTTACTCATTTGAAACAAAAGACTGCATATTTATTTACAGTGATCCCTCGCTATTGCACTCTTCAATATAGCGCTAACTCGGTTATTGTGTGCGGTAACACATGGTTCCCAAAACTTATATACACTTTTAGTAAACACTGACACGATGACATTTCCCCATCGCAAAAACATTACCACCTGCACGCAACACCGGAAATACCAATCAACAAATTCCGCAATTAAATCCTATTATTACACTATCTGGTTATAAAAAAACCCACATGTTTGTACCTTGACATATGTTTGTAGCATATTTTATTAATTTTATTTAAAATTTCATTCAATACAGTTTAGATCAATTTTGCCGAAATCGTGCGTAAAGGGGTCGATAGATCGCACAACTCGCCGTTATTTACAGCAACCACGGTCAGGTAATCGCTATTGACGCTTTGAAAGGAACTTTAGTTGACAACGAAAAGAAACACATATTAAATAAATGCCATACTTTCACTCGTTAAAAGTCACATTTGTTGTAGTTTGACAAAATTATATTTCATCAAAGCTAGGCCTCGCGTTACAATTTCCAAGAAATTCGATTTCCAAGAAGCATGTGCCATATATGGAAGTGTTACTACGATTTAACAATGAAACAAGCCTGGTTCTCGTTGTTGACCTGCCTGACATCGAAATGTATTAATCCCATTGGTTGACTGGCGTAGCTGTATGCAAATTACATTGTCAGTCTGGGACACTAACAAAATATTAGCCAATCAAATACCGTAACATGATCACATGATTACATTCGCGTGAAACTTGACCCAGTTCATTTTGTGCGCTCTACTTGTCCACGGGCATGCTAGAAAACTTATATTACACGCCCGACATCTAAACCTTACTTGGCACGGGCGTCGGGCAATGGTATTTTTCAACCCCTGTGAGGACAGGTTGAACATAGCTGTCAAACAATTTAGTTAACACTTCATGACTTAAACCACCCATGTTGTTGAACTTGGCTAGCACAGCAAAAAATAGCTGTCAAACAATTTAGTAAATACTTCATGAATTAAACCACCCATGTTGTTGAACTTGGCTAGCACTGCCCCAAGGGCTCTATTTGCTGATTTACAAATTTCAGTCACAGTTGTTTTGTAATTACAATGTTCATTAAGCCACATGTCAAGATACCTGTATTCCATACATTAATCAATATTGATTTAACCCCAAGTAAACTGGTAAGTTCCCAAAGGGATAGATACATGTCTGCAATGCATAATCTTTGTTTTATCTTTGTTTACTCCAAGTTTCCAATGTTTAGACCAGTCAGCGAGACCATTAAGAAGCTTCTGCATGTTATGTTCATCCGGAGCTATGAGCACAATATCATCAGCATACAGAAATAGTGAAATGTTCAAGTTATCAATATTAATACCACATTTCAGGTCGCTGAATTTATCTGCCAAGTCATTTATGAACATTGAAAATAAAGTTGGCGACAAACAGCAGCCTTGTTTCACACCCATGGAGACTTCAAACCAATCAGTTCTTTCTGTTATTACCTTTACACAATATTTCACACCTTGGTACAGAGACTGAATTGCATTCAGTATAATTCCTTGAATTCCAAATTGTTTTTTCCAAAAGGCAAATTTTCTTGTATTATTTATTTATATATCTTAGCAATTAACATAGCTATTGACATAATTATTAATTCTCTTTATAATATAAATTATTATTCTCTTGAAACTTTACTACACATCTATCTTTATGTTCTTCATTTTGTACTTTCATTTCATTTTACTCTTCTTCTAATGTTACACATTTCTTTCTTAATATTAGTATTTTCAGCTCTAACTTTTCCTTCTCTAATTTGGCAATGATGTTTTTGGATCTAAAGTATTCTGCTTGTTCTTTTAATGTAATGGTTTCTTGTAAAAATTTCTCTTTTTCGGCCCTGAGGGTAAGAATTTCTTCCTCATGCAATTTAGCTTTTTTTTGGGTGGCTCCTTGAAAGGACCATTGCAGGGACTTGGGGTTGGAACTTGCAGGATTCCCTGTTTGTCAATCACAAGATCCAGTTGCACCGGGCAATCTGAAAGAATAATAATTCATCCAAATTCATAAATTGCTTATCCATGTTTCTACTTTATTTTTATGAGTGAGTGAGTTTGGTTTTACGCCGCTTTTAGCAGTATTCCAGCAAGAGATCACGACGAGGGACACCAGAAATGGGCCTCACACATTGTACCAATGTCGGGATTCGAACCCGGGTCTTCTGCGTGATGAGCTAACGCTTTAACCACTAGGATAACCTAACGCCCCATATTTTTTATAAATTTGGTTTAAATCATGATGAGTATCTGTTGATGAATTAACACTTATATCATACATAAATGCTGAACCAGGTTTTTTTCATTGACACATGCGCATATGTACCTTTATTGCACAAAAATGCGCTATGTGCTGCTGTTTTCTCTAGGAAGTTATTCAATTCAATTTTTAGTACAACGCTGACATATGTGTAAACACATGAAATCCGACATGTACATTATTTAGAACTTACTGGGCTCATTTGACAACATGTCCATGCCCAACCCCGGATCCTCAGATGCAGTTGTTGCAGACAGTGTTCCACTGAAATCTGAAACATTCATGAACAAAATCATTATAGCCATTCTCTTTGTTTATATGTTTGTTGTGTATTTATTTTTAGGACTCTATTATTGTTATGTATGCAGTGAACATGAAATAGCTATAAGACTAATTATGTATTTTCATTATCATTTTTTGAATTGTCAACATATTTTATCACATTATCACATTGACTCATAAGCATCTGTGATGAGTGTTTAATTTATTTTTTTCAATTGTTTTCATAATTATAATTCATTATATTTTTATAAAAGTAGTGATATACTTGATATATATATTAAGCATGTGCATATTTATTATACCTTCAGTGTCAAAGCCATCTAACAAACCCTGCAGGGTAGGTCGATCTTGTAGATTTTCAATGATCAACGTCTCGGCAAATGAGGGCGAGACTGGCTTTGGCCCACCACCAGTTTTGGGACGTCTGATGGCATCAGATTTGTCTTTGGCTGAAGACAAATCACCATATAACTTATTACATCTGCTTGTGATGACATTATTGATTTACCTTTGTAAATAACATACTGAAATTAACATACTGAAATGACGATGACAACAATGTTATTGTTTTATTATTGAGTAAGTTCTGTTATTATTTATTAATTGTTTTAATTCCTGTCAGATATTTTGATTATGCTGGCCTTCAGCTGCATTGATGTACTTGTATCTGTTAATTAGTTTTTATATGCTGATACTTGTATAGACTGTTAATGTCGAACCTCTTTGTTTCAGATTGGCATACTGTTTTTTTGCCTCCTCAACTGTTCTTTTCACCTCTCCTGATTTTCTGTTAAAATAGAAATACAGACCATCATGATAATGTTACTCAAGTGATGAAATTAAATATTTTCCTTGACCTCACACTCAACAAACTGCCTGTGTATTTTTATGATATATGCAACAATTTGTTGTCTTACTGACTTACCACTAATGGTGTTTTCAATGCCTCCAATTTTCACCTACCCACCTATCAACAGGTAGGACAGACATATAGACATGTTTCTTTATTATCATGGACCCCATGGCAAAAAAATTAAATACTCGTATTATACATAACTATCATATAACTGTTTGTCCAGTGTCAAGTCACTGTGATTGTGTCAATGTTACATAAGTGTGAATTACATTTTAATGTATACAATACCAATATGCTGGAGTATGTCAAATGTATGCATCCATGTACCTGTCTTCATTCATGGTATTTCAGTTGTTTCCTAATGTTACATTTAGTGTGACATACCATTAATTAAATGAGTAAAGGTGTCCCAATGACATCAAAATTTAAATACCAAAAATAAAAACATGTTTTGCACTTAAATAATGTGTTATTGCAACATTTATTAATAATAAGGATATTAATACAAGAACATTGCATCACAAAATACAAATACATGCAGTGAATAATGATTTTTTATATGTTTGCCTTTGACCGGAATCGAACCGATGTCTAAAGATTAATGTTTAAGACTACCATTCAAAAGCCTCATTACATCTAACTTAAATATTATAAATAAACACTTTGTTATCATAAACATCCAAGTATGAACCCATCACACTTGTTGAAATAATACATGTGTGAACCCATCACACTTGTTGAAATAATACATGTGTGAACCCATCACACTTGTTAAAATAATACATGTGTGAACCCATCACACTTGTTGAAATAATACATGTGTGAACCCATCACACTTGTTGAAATAATACATGTGTGAACCCATCACACTTGTTGAAATAATACATGTGTGAACCCATCACACTTGTTGAAATAATACATGTGTGAACCCATCACACTTGCTGAAATAATACATGTGTGAACCCATCACACTTGTTGAAATAATACATGTGTGAACCCATCACACTTGTTGAAATAATACATGTGTGAACCCATCAAATTTGTTGAAATAACACATGTGTGAACCCATCACACTTGTTGAAATAATACATGTGTGAACCCATCACACTTGTTGAAATAATACATGTGTGAACCCATCACACTTGTTGAAATAATACATGTGTGAACCAATCACACTTGTTGAAATAATACATGTGTGAACCCATCACACTTGTTGAAATAATACATGTGTGAACCCATCACACTTGTTGAAATAATACATGTGTGAACCCGTCACACTTGCTGAAATAATACATGTGTGAACCCATCACACTTGTTGAAATAATACATGTGTGAACCCATCACACTTGTTGAAGTAATACATGTGTGAACCCATCACACATGTTGAAATAATACATGTGTGAACCCATCACACTTGTTGAAATAATACATGTGTGAACCCATCACACTTGTTGAAATAATACATGTGTGAACCCATCACACATGTTGAAATAATACATGTGTGAACCCATCACACTTGTTGAAATAATACATGTGTGAACCCATCACACTTGTTGAAGTAATACATGTGTGAACCCATCACACATGTTGAAATAATACATGTGTGAACCCATCACACTTGTTGAAATAATACATGTGTGAACCCATCACACTTGTTGAAATAATACATGTGTGAACCCATCACACATGTTGAAATAATACATGTGTGAACCCATCACACTTGTTGAAATAATACATGTGTGAACCCATCACACTTGTTGAAATAATACATGTGTGAACCCATCACACTTGTTGAAATAATACATGTGTGAACCCATCACACTTGTTAAAATAATACATGTGTGAACCCATCACACTTGTTGAAATAATACATGTGTGAACCCATCACACTTGTTGAAATAATACATGTGTGAACCCATCACACTTGCTGAAATAATACATGTGTGAACCCATCACACTTGCTGAAATAATACATGTGTGAACCCATCACACTTGCTGAAATAATACATGTGTGAACCTATCACACTTGTTGAAATAATACATGTGTGAACCCATCACACTTGCTGAAATAATACATGTGTGAACCCATCACACTTGCTGAAATAATACATGTGTGAACCCATCACACTTGTTAAAATAATACATGTGTGAACCCATCACACTTGTTGAAATAATACATGTGTGAACCCATCACACTTGTTGAAATAATACATGTGTGAACCCATCACACTTGTTGAAATAATACATGTGTGAACCCATCACACTTGTTGAAATAATACATGTGTGAACCTATCACACTTGTTGAAATAATACATGTGTGAACCCATCACACTTGTTAAAATAATACATGTGTGAACCCATCATACTTGTTGAAATAATACATGTGTGAACCCATCACACTTGCTGAAATAATACATGTGTGAACCCATCACACTTGTTGAAATAATACAAGTGTGAACCCATCACACTTGTTGAAATAATACATGTGTGAACCCATCATACTTGTTGAAATAATACATGTGTGAACCCATCACACATGTTGAAATAATACATGTGTGAACCCATCACACTTGTTAAAATAATAAATGCGTGAACCCATCACACTAGTTAAATTAATAACTAAATGTGCGAATCCATTGCACTTGCTAAAATAATAAATGTATGCAAATCTAACTCACTGCAAAGGACCTTGAACCCGATACTTCTCAGTACTGCTTCAGACATCAATGGGAGCAGAGCACAAGCACGTTTTGCAAATATTTCAGTACCTACCTCATGATGATTCTTGGCCAGAGATGAATCACAATTGCAAATATGTACTTGTGTTTTCATAAATTCATTTATCTACTGAGACATACCTCACTCCTAAAACAGTCCAGTAAAAATTACAGAAACGTATGTATTATTATTAATATCTTATTATTATCATTGTTATTAGAGCGGAAATACAGTACACCCCAATCACGACCCTCATGCAGCTAAAGCCTTTTTAGGTTTTCCTGATGACAAGGCCCAGATATACCTGAAACTTCCAGACTTACTTTCATCCACTTTAACATGCCACAAATATGATATTTCGGTATAACTGATCTTCCCGTCTCTGAGTTCCCGACTTCTCTTTAGCCAAACCTTCGTGTTTGCAGTGAAATCGAGACAGTAAACAAGGTGTGAATGATGATGGTACGCTTTAAATATAATATCGCGGTGATTAATTTATAGTGGATCGTAACGGCGAATGCTTACTAACACAGTTACTATGTAATACGAAAAAATGTTTCTTATTCATTATTCAACTATGACACATCCATTGGTATTGATCGATGCTGATTTTCTTTATCCAATATTCGGTAAACAAAGCTTCCCGTCATTGGCGACTCAAGGGCGGGCAACTCTAAATCATCTCGCTATGGCTATTTTGGTGTGATACGTGTGAATTATGTGTTTTTCATCACTTCCGTTTTTGGATTATGCATATTCAGTATGCATACGACCTCGGCTGCATAGGTCATGCGACAATGCCTAAAAAATTGACTGGAGGTAGGGACTTTTCCACTTCAAAAACATTCCAGAAAATATCATCAAAAGAGTTAACGTGTGTAAACTTGTAAGTAGTCGTTACATACCGCAACCAGTCCTGTATTCGATCATGCGATGAACTATCGTATTTAGATTTGCATAAGTAAACAGTCGACAGGTGTGTGGATTACGAGATTTGCCGACACCGCGATAATAGAGTCATACTATAACAACTGCAACTATGTGACTTACGCATTTAGGGCATTCACCACCTCCTCCCAGGCTTGTTCTTTGATTTTTCCTCCCTTCTGCGTGCCGCATCCTTTAAATTTTCCAAACAGTCGATGTTGAATTTGGTTCACATTGTCAATTAGTAAAATTCGCTCTTCTTCAGTCAAATTCGGCCTCCGTTTGCTTTCAGCCATCGCGGATATGTTAGCAGACGACAAAACGTAACATCACGCGCATCTGTGTTTACATTGGAAACGGAAGTCAAATCTCGCGCCAAGGCCGCTTGCATCGCATAAAAAAAACAACTGAGATCGAACTTAAGTGCTGAGTTAAAAACTCAGCTGAGTTTTTGCTGAGTTTGATTCGAGAAATGCAGTTGAGTAAAAAACTCAGCTGAGTTTTTTTTGCAAACTCAGTTTGAGATTTGAGTAAAAACTTAAGTTTGTTTCGAGAAATCGGGGCCGGGTAATATAAGATTACTTTTACAGGCTCCACCATAGATGATGGAGCCATAATCGAGCTTAGAACGGACAAGTGATCTATATAAGTGAATGAGGGTCGTCTGATCACCTCCCCACTTGGAATTAGAAACAACCTTTTATAAATCTAGTGCCTTCAGACATTTAGCTTTCAAATACTTAATATGCGGTAAGAAAGTAAGATGATGATAAAAAATTATTCCTAAAAACTTAGCTTTTTTACAACCTTAATTGGAGTTCCAGCTAGATGTAAATCTGGGTCCTTATGTGGTTTATATTTTCGACAGAAATGAATACAATTAGTTTTAGATTTAGAAAACTTGAATCCGTTCTGCTCTGCCCAAACATTGATTTTATTTAGACAAAGTTGCAATTGTCTCTCGAATCGAGTACATATTTTTACCTCGACATGATACATTAAAATCGACAACAAACAAAGGCCCGTCAACAGTGTCATTTAAAACCTAAGCTAAACTATTAATGTTTATGCTAAACAACGTTACTGTTTACATTCGGTGTTAAACCATGGTTTGCGTATATGTGGAATTGTAGAGGATTTAGGTATGCATTCATTAGCAATTTTGTTTAAAATGTCAGAAAAATCCTGAATAGGAACATTAGCATCAGTAAAACATTCGGGTTTTATTTTAGTTAGGCACATTGTTTGAAATAAAAACCAGTTTGCTTTGTAAAATTCCATCTTGAAAGAGGTGGAACGTCAGTCTGATTAACAGTTGATAGAATAGTTGGAAAGTGGTCACTTCCACAAAGATCATTGTGGACAGACCAATCGAAATTGTTTAGAAGATTAGAATCAGTGAGGGACAAATCCAAAGAAGAGTAAGTCCCAGTTGCTGGATGTAGATAAGTGTGTGTATCGTCATTAAAGATACACAGATCATTATTGGTTATAAAATCCTCAAGTGCCTCACCTTTAGTATTTGTGTTTATACCACTCCAGAGTGGATTGTGGCCATTCAAATCACCCATGATTATACATGGCTTAGGGAGTTGATCCTAAAGGTTTGAAGATCCTACTGCATGAGAGCTGATGACGGCAATGATAAGTGCAACGTAAGTCGCACTGCAACGCCTTGCAGAATAACATTCTGTCGCACAATAATTGAGGATCCTCCAGTGGCCCTATAACCTGGAGGAGAAAACGAATGATATGCACTGAACTGACGTAAGTTAAAATTGTCTGTCTGCTTTTAATATGTTTCTTGTAAGCAGAATGCTGCTGGATTAAGATCCTGGACTAATAGATGTAGTTCATTAAAATTAGTCTTTATTCCTCACGATTCCATTGTACAATATTAGTTGAAGAAACTATCGTTTCGGGGGATTAACTGGGGATCTACCCCTCACCTTCCTTGAGGGTGACAAGCTATGTGTCTGATAATGGCTGTTATCGCATGCATCCATGTCTTCTAAGGACCCAAACTTATTGAAAAGTTGTATCTGGTTGTCCCCTTTTGAGGTTTTGCCGCTGAGATATTGTTGTGACGACTCTGGTCTATGTTTGCTTTTGCTTTTTGCAGTTGTTTCACATTTGTTTCTGATTTTGGTGCTTGAGCTAACTTCGGTGATTGTTTCTGAGATAGAGACGAATCCCTATCACAAGATGCCTGTGATTGAGTAAGGTTTTGTGAAACCTGAGATGTAGAGGCTGTTTGAAGCGTTTGACAGCAGTAACTCCTTGAGAGTGCAACTCTGTCACAATGTCACTTTCATTCATGTCTCAAAGGCAACATCCGATGTCACGAACAATGCCTTTACTGCTGTTCAATGTCCTGTGAGGGAAAACCTCAACAGGAACATCTGATAGTGATTTGATGGATTAAAGAATTTGGGATTGTATGGGCCTTCTTCATTCAATTAATAGTGAACCAGATCTTAGTTTTTTAACATCCTTCACGTCGCCAGCCAAATCTTCTATTCCCTATACTATGTGGGACATTCTTTTGAAGAAGCTGCATGGTTTCCAGAGCAGTTAACACAGTGAGGAGGTTTATCACAAAAATGATTGTCTTCACATGTTCCTGCGCACCGATGGCAGGCAGCTGGTACATGGCATGACTTTGATCCGTGGCCATACTTTTGGCAAGTATAACACCTTAAGGGATTTGGTATTAATGTATCGACCCTTAAGCTGCAATAACCAGCTTAAAGAGATTCTAGGGCGCACGGGAAGACAAAATGTGAATAGAAACGTATCGGTTTTAATGACTTCATTGTTCTTTTTAGCTGTGAAGCGTTTAACAGCAGTAATTCCTTGTGAGTGCAACTCTGTAACAATGTCAGTCTCCGCCATATCTGAAAGGCAACGTCCAATGTCACGGACAATGCCTTTACTGCTATTCAAAGACCTGTGAGGAGAAACCTCAACAGGAACGTTTGCCAGTGATTTGGGTGATAACAGAATTTGAGATTGTATAGGCCTTCTACATTCAATTAATAGAGAACCAGACCTTCAATTCCCTTTGCTATGGCAAACGGATTAAGTTTGAGAGGACCACCACCTGGAGCAGACAGAACGAGAAATCTAGACCAGTAATCAGGATTGATGAGAGGTTTTTTAGAATCTTCATCCTCAGAAGAAAACGAATCATCAGATTCGTGTGAACGTTTTTGGTGTGGGGATGGTAGTAGTAAATGTTATTCACCCCCCTAGCTCCCCACCCACCATGGAGTGTCTACGTGGACGATGCCACACGTCTGTGGATCTCCAACAGACTGCACCAAGGATACCAGGAGGGTATACTCAAGCAGAAGAATCGATCAAAGATCAATCAATCAACCAGATTGGCCCATGAGCCACCGCCTTCTGGCACTGGCATCAAGGCAAATTTGGAATTTAACAAGTAGTGCAAAAATCAATATTCATGTATATTCAAACATTTAATAAATTCAACATATTAAAACAGTAATTCAATTACAGATATATATATATATATATATATATTTCCAAGCCGAATAGTTAGAGCATTAAGCAAAAAAGTAAGGTGCTCAGAACTTGGCATGACCAGCCGATTGATATAGAACAGCAGCCCAGAGCACTTTGGTCAAACGAACAAGGTACCAATATCCGAACACAGGAACATTTACTGCGTAACCCAACATATTCATATATGGATGTCTGCCGGGGACCCCTGCTGCGTGTGACCCCTGGCCCCCCAAAAAGGAGGGACCATTCAAGGGCTGGATCACACATTGGAGGTACCACATGAAAGTAAGTGTAAATGAACTGGTTCATCTCACAGAGTACAGAATGGGCCACACCAGACAAATCTTCCTCTGCATAAGGCCTGCCAGACACCCCCAGAGAGGGTCACAAAATTTGGGCTGGGTTAACAATTGTAGGTACCACATGAAATCAACATAAAATGAACTATTACACTGTACTAAGTATAAAATACCCATTGCCAGACAAATCGTCTGCTGCATAAGGCCCGCCAGACACCCCCAAATGTTTACCCTTAATGCACTCAGTGGACACACTGGTAAAATTTGACTAGAGTATACATTCAAAGTACCAGATGAAAGTAAGTTTAGATGAACAGGTACGTGTTACTGGGTACAAAACGGCCCATACCTGACAACTTTTCCTCTGCTTAAGGTCCGCCATACGCCCCAGAGAGGGTCCCAAAATTTGGGCTGGGTTAAACTTTGGAGGTACCACATAAAACCAACATAAAATGACAATTGGACTCTACTCATTGCACATTACCCATTGCCGGACAAATCATCTTCTGCATAAGGCCCGCCGGACACCCACAAAAAGTTTACCCTTCAGGTATACACGGGTAAAATTGGGCTGGGACATATATCGAATGTACCACATTAAGGTAAGTTTAAATGAACAGGTTCCTATCACAGAGTACAGAATTGGCCACGCCAGACAAATCTTCCTCTGCATAAGGCTTAAACATTGGAGGCATCACATGGAACCAACATAAAATGAACTATTAAACTCGACTCATTACAAAATGCCCATTGCCAGACAAATCATCTTCTGCATAAGGCCCGCCAGACACACCCTCACCCCACCCCACATAGTTGACCCTCTGTAATCCCAGTGTGCATAATGAAACATAGAAGGCAGAAGAGCATTGGACATCAGCTCTGAGAGTCAACAAATGGTCAAATTTATGTTTTGTTCTTAAAGATGGAAGGATTTTATTGAGATTAAAATCCCGTATTTATAAAATTAGGTCTCTGAATACTAGTATTGATATCATAGATTGGGCCTATCGTTGAAATGTAATGAAAATGGCATGAATCTGATTCTTGTGAATATATATCTGATCAGCTATGAAGTCCTCAAAGCCTGCTATAGCCTGATAGCTTGGCTATGGATTCCTACAAGCTAGATAGGCATATGATGCTATGTGCCATGATTTTTATATACTGAACAACACAAGTTCCTTTGACATTGAAAAAGATTTAATGCAAAGTTATGTTTTTTACCAAATCCGTTTCCGTTTGCAACAGATAAAAGACTCCTGTAAGTGTTCCAATGGTTTAATTTGTTGAAATGCATGATTTCATAAAAAAAACATGAACATGCCAAAATGTCAATTTACAAATCAATATCGAGTGTGTCTACCTCTGGTTGCGATGCAAGCAACACATCTTCGTCTCATTGAATGGACCAGGCGTCCTATGGGATATCTGTCCATATCAGCTGGAGCATGTTTCGAAGTTCCTGGGGTGTCTGTGGAACACGTGGTTGACGTCGAAGGCGCCG